AGCTGCAGTCCTGGTTGACACCCACGGTAAGGCTCTTCCTAACCCAAGGACTCACTGGCCAGCTTGTGGCCTTCCACGACCCAGAGCTGTAACTCAGCTAATTCAGCAGCTCGTGCACATGCCCAAGCACCTCTAGCTTCTAAGTATTCATACACTGCGCTGGGCTGCCCCTCTTCCTACTTAATTCTCCTATCTCTCTCAATAACACCTACATGTTGATCTTATCCACACAACATGCTATGACCATCCTTCCAAACATGAGGCCATCTACTCCCTTAACAGGACCACCAGAGTCAAGTGATGCATATTTAGTGCCTACCTCAGGCCAATTCCTTTACCTCCTCATGCCTCAGTTTCCCCATGTGTAAAATGGATATACCAATGGAACCCTCTCAGAGTTGTTATGAGGAGAAATGAGTGAACACCTATAAAGCACTTATTACGGGCATGGCTTGTAGTGAGGGCTCAATAAATGTTATCTGCTTGTAACAGTAGTGGTGGTGGTAGGGGTGGTGAAGACAGGTAATTCAATTAACTCATTAATTTTCAAAATGTTTCCATGAGATAGCTTTGGTTTTTTGGCCTTGTTTTTAGCAATGAGGAAACTAAAGCACAGAGAAATGGAAATTAAGCCCCAGGTCCCCTCCACCACAGTGTCACACCACTCACGGCAGCAGCAGACCCAGAGCCTGTCCCTGGGGGGCCACAATGGCAAGGTCTCCTCCCTGCCCACAGTTCAGAGTGGTGGCCTCACCCTGACAGAACAGAGTCACTCAGCTCCCCCAGGATCTGTCCTCTGCAGGGTGTTCCCATGGCCAGAGAGGCCTGAGACCCATCCTGCTGTGCCCCATGCTCTCCTGGTTGACTGTCCAACCCCAAAAGGGATCTGAGCCTCTCCTCACCACTGTGACCTCACCAGGCATGCAGCAGAGTTGCCATGAGCAGATGAGACGAACAGGGGCCAGCTGATCATGTCAAAGAAACGAGAAAAGCAGTAGCTTTCTCCACAGAGACAGTGCTTCCCAGCAGCCTGCTGACTGGGCGTCGTCTCCACAATCCCTGGGTCCAGAATAGGGTAATGAGTGCTCTACTCCCAGCACACCCACCCGGGCAACTCCCTGACCGCTGGGGCCTCACTCCCACAGCACCCTGAGCAAGCCCGTCCCTATGAAGCAGATGTGAAGGGCGCTGCCTTGGACAGCACAATTAGAGAGGAAGGAAGGAAGAAAGAAGGCTCCTTGTTCTGGACGGAGGGTTAGAAGGAAGAGGTAGCAACATCCTTCCTCCCGGTCTCCCTGGGAAGGGGCTGAGGGTTGGGCTGTGGGGACACAAGAACCAACACGTACTGAGCACTCACCTCTGCTGAGAACCCTGCCTGGTGCTTTAAAGGTGAATTCTGATTCATTTCCCCTTCATTCTTTCAACTCCTATTTGCCGTGCGCCTACTGTGTGTGCCCTGTGTGGGAAGCTGAACACAACAGTGAACAGTGAACGAGGCAGCAGGGCCCCTGGCTGTGTTGACCTCTTAGGTTAGCAGGGGACAGAACCTGACTACCACACCATTAGCTGTTACAACGGTAATAAATGCTGCGTGGGGGAGCGCAGAGCCTTGGGAACATGACAGAGGGACCACATGCAGGCTGGGACCTTTCCCAAGAAGGGACATCTGCCTGGCTCTGAAATGGACATGAAAACTAACCTGCGAAAAGTGGGGGTGGGCTTGCTGGGGAGCACAGCAGGGTGTGAGAAGGGACAGAGAGGGGTTATGAGGGGCGCTGGAGACTGGAAGAGAACTTGGGGCTTGATCCTGGGGGCACTGGGAGGCTACAGTGGGTGACAAGGTGGCTGGGGATGGGGCCGGGAACTTCCCACCATATCCACCTGTTCTGTGCAGGGATTGACCAGTAACATCAGCATCACCTGGGAACTTGTCAGAAATGTGGATTCTCTGGCTCCACCCAGAGCGGCTGAATCAGAAACTCTAGGGGTGGGACCCAGCTACTGAGCAACACCTACTTTAAAAGATTAGGGAGACTCTTTTGAAAGTGGGGACCAGCTTGTCTTATGCTAAAGTCTTTACTTCCAGAAAAATCAACCCAAAACAATGGGCTAGATTTCATTTACATTTCAAGCTCCCTCCGCTCCCTCCCTCCAAACTCACGTTACTTTCCCCAACTTCCTTCCTCCTCCTGGAAAGGCTGCCAGCCTCCCCACTGGGGCTGCTGAGGTCTCGCAGGCCCCACCCCAACCCCTGCCAAACGTCTTAATTTCCTTCTCCTTTGGTTCCTGCTAATCGTTTAATCTGACCTCGCGTTTTGGACACAAAGTAGAGGACGGCTATTATGGCAAGACTTTCAGAGAAAATCTGAACACACTGAGAAATGCTATGGAAATGAGAGATAACCATGAAAAATAAGACATCTGGGCAAAGTTTAAAAGGACCAGGCATGCTCAGCCTTGAGCGAATGTCACCGTGGGGAGCCGCGGTGACAGTTTTCTCATGCATGAGGAATGCACACAGGAGAAAGGGATCCGTTTTCCCACTCAGCAGCCAGAGCAGAACAAGCAAGATCGTCTTAGGTTTCAGCGGAGAAAACATCTGTCCTGTGTTTGAGCCCGAGGAGAGGGGGAGCTGCCAAGAGGGGTGGTGAGATCATCCTCGCCCAAGACGCTGGAGATGAGATCACCGTGGCCAAGGTCGCTGTCCATCAGGGCCGACCACAGCGGCCGGCCCCTTCCCGCACCGTCTGGGGCCCCCCAGGCTCTGCGAGGGGTCTCCCCGTCACCTGGCAAACCCGCCTCCCAGGCATGGCCAGCGCCAACTCGAAGTCACTGTGTTTTGCTCGAGGTACCCAGGAATCCAAGGGACTCATGCGCCTCTGCAAACTGTGTCAGACCTTGTTGCCTGGAGACCAGGATGCCAGGCATTCGTTTCACGGAAAAGCCCATGTATTGCTTTCCTACAGCCACCTCCTATCTGCCCAGTAACAGCAGCGGCAGCCGCAGCCATCACAGCAGTAACAGCTCAGAGCTCCCAGGCACTTGCTCTGTGCCAGCGCTACACACACAGTCCTCTCACTCATGCCTCAACACTGTCATAAGGCCCATTTTACAGGTGAAGACCCTGAGGCTTAGAGAGGACTACTGATTTGCCCATGGCCCCACTGCTGGTCATGTCCAGCTGAGATCTGAGCCCAGGGTTCTGAGTTCAGAGCCCGCGATTACAATAAAGCCACTACATTGCCAGGAATGAAGTACACGTGTCAGATGCCCAACAAGGAATTGACACAAATTTGGCCCCCCATCTCCTCCAGAGTCAGCAGGGGCTGGCACCTCAATAACATTCAGTAGAATGGAGAACAGGGACCTTTGAAAATCAGCCACTCTGTCTCCTCTGCCCCTACCCCTCTGCTCCAGATCGGGTGACATTTAAAATCAGGGGTCCCCCAGAAGGCCTCCCACTGCCCCATCTACATCACCCTATGCCTGCCCCACAGGATCCACCACCAGGCTCGATGAGCTGACAGGGCTGCTGGCCGCATGGACACCCTTCACACACCATCACCCATTCTGAACCCTAACCGGTTGCACTGGGTGCCTGCACCACCTCTACAGCTGGGACCTCAGAGTTTGTTTTTCTATTTACCCAACACTCTCCTCAGAGCATCCCTGGGGGCCACTGTGATGAGAGGGGCTACAGTGCAGACTCTGCCACAGAGGCTTCAGAGAGCCCAGATCCGATTTCTGTCCCATCTTCCCTATGATGCACTTCCAGCTTCCTCTGGCTTCTCTCCTTTTGCCTCTTTCTGGAGTCCTGAAAGGGGCTGACATGGTGTCTCCTGCTGACTGGAAGAAGCCGTCCTTCTCCACTGCCCTCTGACGCTGGGCTAGCGCCTCGGCCTCACCCCGCGCTTGCATCGCGGGCTCTTCTGGGGCCTCAGGCATTCGTCAGAAGTCCGAGGGCTCAGCTAAGGGGACCAGCTGAGCCTCTCCTGACTTGGGACTTCAGAACTGAACATCCACCTCACCCTCTTTAAAGAGCCAGCGAGAAGCAGGCACAGGAAGCGGTGCCACGGGCGGGCATGTGGCCCCTGGCTCAGAACCAAGTGCCGTGTCTACTGTGTCGCAGCTGTGCCCACTCGCAGGAAGGGCATCACAGGGGGAAGCCCCTGTTAGGCAGGCTTCCTGTGAATGGGACAGACGCAGGAGAAGTGAGTAAAGAAGGATTTCCCTGCTGTTCAGACGACTGGGTACTGATGTCAGGCCTGGAGTCAGGTGAATGAAATTTATTCCTTCTTGATGGAAAAGCTGGATTCAAGCCACAAATGTATATTCATGGGTATCTTAATTTTTCTTCCAGCTTCACCAAGCTCAGCAGAGCTTAAAGCAGGCTTTTCTCTAGTGCAAAGAGATGGAGAGGGCCCAGAGAACAGACTGCTGAGCCCTGAGGAGGAGGAGGGGTCCTTCCAGAACTTTTCTCTCATCTGTGCTCCTTCCACCCATATATGGGAAGAGGTGGGCAGCAGGGAGGAGGCAGAGATGGTTTCTGGAGGTCTGGTCTCAGGGACTCCAACCTGTGATGTGAATGCCACACCCTCAACATCCATGTGAGCATCAACAGTCCCCAGTGAACTCAGGCAAGACACGCCAGCCTTCACTCACGTGAGTCAGCTGTTAGCTGCTTTTCCAGCAGATGTGTTTGTTCTGAATGACCCATTGGCCCAGGGTCATCTTTTGTGGTTCTGTTGCCACAGAGCCTATGTTCCACCCTCCGTAACCAGCAGCACACAGCTGGCTTGCAGATGGATGGGATCCCGTGGTAAGAAGGGTGCAGAAATGTTCTCTGTGCATGGCCAACTGGCACTCCCTAGCATCTAACCAGTAACCCCGGCCACATGACACCAACTGTGGCTTGGGAAGCTGAGCTCCTGAAATGGCTACCCACCCCTGGAACATGCAGAGAATAAACAGCGAAGGATATTAAAATCAGAGTCAATTACCTTCATGGCACCCATTGCTTGAAAAGTCACAGCTAATCTCGAAGGGGTCAGTGCTGCCAGCATCGCGTTGAATCTCGCGCTCTTGTTCTTAATACGGGAATGGTACTGCCCTTCTGGAGTCACGGAACCGAACCTGTGGTCAGGGAGAGGCGGGCGGAAAGGTTAACCAAAAAGAAGAACACAGCACAACTAGAAATGAAGTCAGGTGGCTCCCACAGGCACACACAGGGAAGTCTTACAGGCTTCCGCATCCTAGAACTGCCCTCGTGAGACAGCAAGAGTCAGGGGCGGGGGAAGTGCCTTCCCAGGAGATGCTGACAAAGGCTTGACTCACTCATGGAAAGTAAAGCAGGTTTCCTGCCGCTGCTGACCTGCACTGGGCAGTGAACCCAGACAAAGGGGCATGAGGACCGCCATCATTAAACCAACACCGGAGCCTGAGCTTGAAGACTGCACATCAATCCACTTTTCTGTTGTTGAGATATAATTTGCATACCATGAAATTCCCCCTTTTAAAGAGTACAATTCAATGGTTTTTAGTATACTCACCAAGTTCACAAAGGCACAGCCATCACTGCTATCTAATTCCAAAACATTTCATCACCCCAAAAAGAAACACATACCATGCACCCCTCCTCCATGCCCCTGCAACCATTAATCCACTTTCTATCTCCATTTATCTATTCTAGACATTTCAGATAATGGAATCTTACAATATGTGGCTTTTGCGTCTGGCTTCTTTCACTCACCACATTGTTTTTAAGGTTTGTGCATGTTGTAGCATGTGTCAGTACCTCATTCCTTTTTATGGCCAAATGATTTTCCATTGTATGACTATACCATGTTTGTTTATCTGTTCATCGGTTGGATATTTGGATTGTTTCCACTGTTTCAGCTATTATGAATAATTATGCTATGAACGTTTATGTACAAGTTTTTGTGTGAACATGTTTTCAATTCTCTTGTGGACAAAGTTTTCATTTTGCGTCTGGCTTCTTTCACTCACCACATTGTTTTTAAGGTTTGTGCATGTTGTAGCATGTGTCAGTACCTCATTCCTTTTTATGGCCAAATGATTTTCCATTGTATGACTATACCATGTTTGTTTATCTGTTCATCGGTTGGATATTTGGATTGTTTCCACTGTTTCAGCTATTATGAATAATTATGCTATGAACGTTTATGTACAAGTTTTTGTGTGAACATGTTTTCAATTCTCTTGTGGACAAAGTTTTCATACATGTCTAAGAGTAGAATTGTAGGGTCATATGAAAACTTTAAACTTTTGAAGAAATGCCAAACTCTTTTCCAAATCGGTAACACCATTTTACAACCCCACCAGCAATGTACGAGGGTTCCAGTTTCTCCACATCCTCACCAACACTTGTTATCGTCTGTCTCTTTTATTATAGCCACTGAAGTAGGTGCTAAATGGTATCCCAATGTGGCTTTTTTTTTTTTTAGATTGGCACCTGGGCTAACAACTGTTGCCAATCTTTTTTTTCTTCTGCTTTATCTCCCCACCCCCCCCCCATACATAGCTGTAAACCTTAGTTGCAGGTCCTTCTAGTTGTGGGATGTGGGGCGCCACCTCAACGTTGCCTGACGAGCGGTACCATGTCCGCGCCCAGGATCCGAACCCTGGGCTGCCGCAGCAGAGCGCACGAACTTAACTACTCGGCCACGGAGCCAGCCCCTCAATGTGGTTTTGATTGGCATTTCCATAATCACAATGATGGGAACACCTTTTCATGTGCTTATTAGCCATTTGTATATTTTCTTCAGAAAAATGTCTATTCAGAATTTTGCCCATGTTTTAATTGGGTCATTTGTTTTTTTATTGTTGAGCTGTCATAGCTCCTTTTATATTCTGGATAATAGACCCTTATGATGCATATGACTTGCAAATATTTTCTCTGATTCTGTGAATTATCTTTTCACTTTCTTCATAGTGTCCTTTGAAGTACAAGTTTTTTTAATTTTGATGAAGTCCAATTTATCTATTTTTTTCTTTGGTTGCTTGTGCTTTTGGTGTCATATCTAATAATAAAACATTGCTTAAACCAAGGTCACAAAGATTCACACCTACGTTTTCTTCTAAGTGTTTTATAGTTTTAGCACTTACATTTAGATCTATGATCAACTTCGAGTTAATTTTTGTATATGGTATGAGGTAAAGGTCCAACTTCATACTTTTGCATATGGCTATCCAGTTGTCCCAGCATCATTTGTTGAAAAACTATTCTTTCTCCATTAAATTGCCTTGTCACCCTTGTTGAATATCAGTTGACCATGAACGTAAGGATTTATTTCAAGACTCTCCATTCTATTCCATTGTCTATACATATCCTATGCCAGCACCACACTGCCTTGATTACTATAGATTTGTGGTAAGTTTTCAAATCAGAAGTGTGAGTCCTCTTACTTTTTTCTTCTTTATCAAGATTGTTTTGGATATTCTGAGTCTCTTATATTTCCATATGAATTTTAGGACCAGTTTCTCAGTTTCTGCAAAAAAAAGGCAGTTGCGATTTTGATAGGAATTTCATTTAATCTGAATGTCTATTTACTGGCCCATTTTTGATCAAGTGGTGAACCGACACCCCCAAAGTGGGAGTCTTCGCTCAAAGCATCTGTGTTGCTGCTGCTCTTCTGTAGTATTGGGGGTAGGGGAGGAGCTTAAATGCCAATGGAATGGGACTAAAATCAAACCTTACTTATCAAAGAATGTTCTACGTATGCTCACATCTTCCACAGTCCCTGTAGCCCCCCAGCATTTTTCTTTCTGGTTGAGTCTGACTTTTTAATCTCTAGTGCATTGGATGAATGCTAAGCCAGTGGGTCTACCTGCTGGCAGAGGACAGTCCAGGCCATTAAGATCCCATTACAGCAGGTGAGATATGGGGAGCTCCACATCTGTGGCTTTCCTTCCCTCTTCCCCATCTCCCAGAGTGGAGCGATGCTGATAAGTGACCGGGAAATGTGCAGGCACCTCTGGGGGAGGCTGGTGGTCCTCAGACCTACTGTCATGGGCGCTTGTAGCTCCTGAGGGGTCCTGAGGGCTTCAGCAAACCCCAGAATAACTGCAAAGATGCTTTTGTTGTTTCCATTTTGTTTCCTACCAATTCACAGGGGGAAAAAAGTTAACAAAATTTGGACTATTTTATTTCTGCCACATTTGTCTTAAACTTTTGGCATCTAGGATATTTATCTGCTGGCAAGAACTTGCAGGCAACAAACAAAAGAGTCAAGTGTTAAAGGAAAATCTCCATGAAAGCAGGGAGCAAGCCTGGTTGCTTACTTTTTCACAGACTTAACTATGACTCTGGTTAAGGATTCTTATTGGACACATGAAATGCTGCTGAAAAAAGTAAAGGTAATCGGTATTTCTTAGCCTCTGAAAAAGTACTGTGAAGCCCTGGAGCTCTGGAACGTACCTGGTAGAAGCAACCTTCACCTCGTTGTTCAGCCCACCCTTAACCCACCTGTTTGACCTCACTGAGGGATGCTGGGGAATGACACGGAGCACCTTTCACATTATCCACCCATGCCACCCAAGTTATAACAGCCTCCAAAGCTGAAAGGAGGTGCCTTATTTCCTGCCACCCACAAAGGAGGCAATAACGCTAATTGCTTTATGATAGCAAAGAAAAAAATATTTCTTCAAGGAAACAACCTAAATATCCAACAGTAAGGGATTGATTATATAAATTATAGATCATTTATTTAAAAGTCTATTATGACAATATTGAAAATGATAATGCATATGTATGTTTATTGTTGCATAGAAACAAGTGACATATAATGTTAAGTAGAAATTACAAGTTAATTAATAAAAAAATATAAGTTAATTAATAAAAAAAGTTAGTTAATAAAAAGTAGAATTTATAAGTGGACTTCATTCAGTAAAAGTCAAACATCTCTCTCTCTTTAGATACATCATCATGAAGAAAAGTCTAAAAAGTTGTACATTAAAGTATAACAAACATTACGCCTGGGTAGTAGCATTTGGATAATTTGAATTTTTTCAGTTTGCTTCTCTACATTTCCAGTTAGTTGTCAGTAAACTTGCAGGAGTGGTTATGAGAAGATAGCCTCGACAGTGAGCCCCAAGAACAAGGCCTGGGTTGGGAGAGGAATGAGATCATTCAGACAGCAAATCTAAGTTAAGGAGAAAACTACTCACTTATCCAGCAGGTTCTCCCTTGGTATCCGAACCTTGTCAAAAATTAAAATCCCATTATCCACACCATGCAGACCTAGAGAGAGCAGAAACGAAATGGAGCCACAGAGGGCAAATATATGCTAGCAACAGAAATATGGGCCCTGTGACTTTCCAGCCCTGTCTCCACTGAAATTCAAAGCCCTTTATTTCACTTCCAGAATTGTTGATGCTTTTTTATTTGGGGTGGGGTGGGGATGCTGTTTGTTTGTTTCCTTGAAGAGCTGTGCCTCCTGCGTAGCCTGTGTGCTCCGGGGCTCAGGTGGGAGATGTGATGGGGACACACCTGCCTGCCCGAGCAGTTGCTGTGAGTGGGAGAGAGAGTTCTAGGCACCTGAGAGAACATCAGACTGACCCCAGAGAAGGCAGGAAAGCTGGTTATTCCCCTCAGTGATGCAGAGCTCACATTCCTCCTCCCTCCCGGTGCTTCCTCCTCAGCACACGGGGGCCAATTTGTGAAACTAAATGTCTAAAAGACAAAGGGAAATGATCACAAGGACAGCAGTGGGTGGGTGGGGTGACCTGACTCTCCAGAAGGTTCTTGAAATCTCCAGAACTATTCTAACCTCAGAGTCTGGGGTCTACTTTTTGTTCATCTCACATTTAGGGAGATTTAATCTGGGGGAAAGATCTTTATTTAGCACACGTATTTATTTAGAACATCACCCCTTGACAAGGACACACTTGCATTTAGGAGCTTACAAGGAAACCAAAGCAGACTTTCTGAAGTTGCCAGCATTCTAAATGTCTGGCACCATTTCACAAGAGCTGGGCCAAGCCCTCTGCTCTCAAGAACACTTGACACCTGAGGCATTTTCAAGGGACCAGGACCAGCGAGGGCCTCAGTCACCCCTGGAAGATACATTTAAAGTGCTCACAAACCACCTGCAGCCCATTCCTGCAGACGTGGCAGTGGTCCATAAACCCTAAGGAGCTGGGGGAGGCTATCCCCCTCCACCCAAGGATCATCTTCTTCTTCCTTCTCTCTCCTCCTCTTTCTTCTGTCTTGTTTTTCTTCTTCTCTAACCTGCTTCTTTGGCTTGGCTTGGCCTTGACTAGTGATGTCCAGTGGAGCCCACAGGCAAGGCCTGCTCTCACCCAGTGTTATGGGCTGGACTGTGTCCCCCTCAAATTCATATGTTGGAGTCCTAAACCCCAGTACCCATGAAGGTGACCTTATTTGGAGGTAGGGTCTTTACAGAGGTAATCAAGTTAAAATAAGGTCTTTAGGGTGGGCCTTCATCCAAATGACTAGTGTCCTCATGAAAAGAGGAAGTTTGAACACAGACAGGCACATGGGGAGAATGCCATGTGAATATGAAGATGGTCACCTATGAGCCAAGGAGAGAGGCCTGGAACAGCTTCTCCCTCACAGCCCTCAGAAGGAACCAACCCCACCAACACTTTGATCTCAAACTTGAGGCCTCCAGAACTATGAAACAACACATTTCTGTTGTTCAAGGCACTCAGTGTGTGATAAAACCACTCTGGCAAACTAGCATACCGAGTCAATCCTTAGGCCTCATCAAGGGCCTCAGGCGCACCAACACCAGGCTGGTGGCTCAGGGGCACTAGAGAGAGAACCTCACCCTGCCCTCTGAGAGCCACAAGTCCAAGAAGGCGAGAGGAGACAGAAAAACTCAGGGCAAAGCTGCATCATTACGAGGAAGTACAAGAGGCTGGGAGAAAATGAGACCAATGCATCTTCGTAAATGGCAATCTGCAACATTCTCTAACAGTTCCACATAAAAGACTCTAATCAGGCTTCGAAAGCAGTCTTCTCTGCCTTCCCTGTTTTCAGTGTTTTGGTGAGTTAGGTCAGACTCTCCCTGGGTGGGTTGGGGAGCAGGCAGGAAGTACAAATGCAGGTAGGAGAGGGTCACCTGGGGACTCACCTTCTTTGTACATCATATCAATAGCCGTTACTCCGGGGTACAAGTTTCCGTCTTCATCCCGGACAGGAACGATGAAACAATGGGGCCCTAAGGAGGGCAAAGAGACAGTTACTAAACTCCCTTTTCTAAAGATATGATTCAAGCTTTATTCATTTCCTGGGACAGTATAAAATTATGTTGATTCTGAAATTCATTCAATTCTATGACTGTGCACAGCCCATAATAGTGTATAATGTCAAAATGTAATGAAAAATTTTATCCTCATGTATGTTTAGGAGATAAAGTTAGTACTGAAATTTTTACAGAATAAAAACAGCCCTGTCAAGTGGGTTTTCAGTTTAAAGTATTCGCTGGAAAATAGTAAAAGTAAAGAGAATTATTCTAGGCTTCTGGGTCGGTAACAAACCTTGAGATCTTCCATTTATGATGAGCTGGGCAAAGACCGCTGCATAATTCCCGTACATGGCATTTCCGATGTACATCTTCTCAGCATTTTCACACGGTGTGTTGATTACAAACTCCTGCACAGACACAGTAGAGGGACAGAGTTTCCTTTCTGATGGCTCATTTTGATCCCTCGGCTCAAGGCAACAAATACTGTGAAGCAGGTGCACATCATGTAGCACGAGCACTCAGGTGACTTCACAGCGAAGGGGCAACAACCAAAAATCATCTGGCTCCGCCTCATGAGGTCAACGCCACTGTGCTCTCACCTCCAGTCACACAGTTCACCTCCACCTCCCCTCTGAAAACGGCTGGCAATTAAAGTGCCTCTTCAATGCTTAATCCAATTAGGAAAGCGAGTTGCCAATTTTCGATGGACAAAAAGTGCACATCCACTCTTTCCTGGTCCCTCTTCTTTATAATGTTGGGCTGACACATGTGCTACTTGGCTGACCCTGCCTGGCTTTATTAAAGTCTTTCATCAATGCCCACCTTCTCTAGACTGAGGTTTTGACTTTTAAATAATCCCACACCAAAAGCTCTGGTGATATATATTCATCTCTCCACAACCCCTCACTCCCAAACACCCCACCTGCAAGTTTCACAGGAAAGGATGGAACGTCCAATGATCTGGGGCCCCCTGTTGAATGAGTCCTCGTCTATATGTTTCATTTTATCTGCTGGGCATTGCCCCTTCTGGATAAATCGCTTGGCTCTTCATGCCCTCCACTGTTGCCTGGGCCTTGAACATCCCTGCCTCCATGATAGGGGCCTGTTGTTTAAAAACCCACTACTAACCAAAGACCAAAACTGTGTGCCTGGATGCAAGCATGACTAACAGGCAACCATGACCTAACCCCACCACTGCTCAGAATCCTAGCCCATCCAATTTGGATTCTTGTTTTAAAGGCTTATTTAAGCCTTTAGATGATTATTTCAGAACTTGCCTCTCCATTTTCCTGATCAATGCATTAATAATAAAAGGTTTCCAAAAAAGCTTCATACGTGTAAGCTCTTAAACCGAAGCATTTGTAAACAATTCTCTATCTATAGGGGAAGGAACCTTAGAAAATGCCATCCAATTTGTCTCCATAATATGATCAGGGATTCCAGCACAAAACAGTGTGAAATTAAGACTGGTCATGAAGAAGCAGGAAGCAAACACAGGTTTTTTTGTTTTAAGTCTCTGCTCAAAACTCGGTCTTCTTTTTCCTCCTCTCCGGAAGCCAATACAGGATCATACTAGAAATTCTCCCCTTCACTTCTTGGTTCTCCCTAATTCTGCTTGTCACCGGGAATGCCCTTCAACCTCTTGTCAAGGAGGGCCTGACTATACCTGCTAACTTTGAATACAGGGTTCCTGGGACAGGCCGGCGAGTCCGACAATATCACAGATGTGGCTGAACTAAACCAACAAGCTATTGATCACATAAAGATTATCTCGGATTTCAGATTTTAAAGTATATAGACTACACTTTCCCTCTGGCCAAGAAATACAGTCTCGAAGCCTAAGGAAACATTCTCCGACATATGCTTGCACAGAAAAACTTTCAACGTGTGTAAGGGCTTTTTCAGAAACATAAATGGACAAGCTGATTCTTTTGAACAGAAGTCTCTGGAGTCTGCCTTTGTCTTATCAGGCCAGCCAGGACTTCTCAAAGGAAAGAGTTATTTGAGGCTCGGTGCAGTAACAGCACCAACAACCAAAATCCATGCAGTGAGGAGCTGCTCACATCTCGAGGGTAGGAAGGGAAGCAGCAGAGAAGCATTGGCCTGGCACAAAAGAAGCTGGTGGCGCCGGGAAGAGACAGGAGGCCATTCGCCCTGAAAACATCTGATCCACTCTGGGAAAGGAGGTTTGTCACTTCTGGCAAAAACACTTGATTTGGAAAGTTTGCATCAGCCAAAATGTTGGCGTGGCACCTGGATCTAAATAATGCACACCATGTGTGTCGGTTCCTATCATAATTAGTTGGTGAAGGCCAAGAAAGTGGCCAGTGTGGGAAGCACTGAAGAACATGGCTTTGGCTAGAGAGCTCTCAGCCTCATTTGTTTTTGCTATTTAGTATCAAGTGTAAAAAGGAAACTCTCCCTCACTGCCTAACTCTCCATACCACTACCCAATCCACCGCCCAAAAGAAAACAAAACCACCAGCCCACAGGCACGAACAACTGAAAAATGCAAGAGATTGAAAGAGTCCTCGAGGGAGAGAGGGCGCATATGATACGCTCTAACATTTTAAAAGGGAAATCAACGGGAAAACACAGAACCCAATGAAGGAGAAATCCCTTCCCGCTGCGTCAATCCTCAGCGGCCCGAGTTGATGCTGGGCTGTCCTCTCTCTCACTCCCTCGGGAGGCAGTGTTCACTAGGGTCTCCTCATCGTTATGATTTCAACCCCGCGACTCCCCTGCAGGAAGCAGCAGCTGCGGAAGCACACCAGGTAGCTAAATCATTTATGCGGTTCGGGGAAAATGGGACCAACACAGGGAAATGATTTTTGTGGAAAAAAATAATTGTAAGAAGAAACAAATAAATAAGAATTGTCGGGGAGGTTTTTTTCCCCTTTAATGACAGCAAGGTGACCTTAATACTGCGGTTTAGGGGAAGAAAAAATTGGCCAGCCAAAACCCAAAAGCTGTTTAGTCAGCTCCCATCGCTGGCAGGAAAGCTAAGCTGTTCAGGGCAGTCCCGCTTGAACCTGAGACTTGCTCATTAACTGCACAGCCGTCGTCAGTTTCCAAACCTCTGAGCCTCAGTTTCTCCACCTATAAAATAGGGGCAACAATGTCTTGCCATAAGTTTTTTTTTTATGGGCAGTCATTTTTCTTGTGCTTATCAATGACGTCCCACTCGGACATCACTGGCCGCCGTGCAGAACTAGCATCAGGGCAGGAGGGCAGGCAGGGCATCCTCCCACACAACCCCACACCTGAATCTGTCATTCTAAATTCTGACCACCTCCAGTGATCAGTCGTGGGTCAGGCAAACCTGCTATCAGAAAACCAGATTCTAAAAGAACAAACTCAGCAAAAATGAAGAATAGGCTGAGTTGCCACACACATGCACATGGCCACATCCACACTCGTGCTCGTGCTTGCACGCATATATTTACACAAACTCAAGAACTTCCAAACTTATTTACTCCTTTGTAGTTCCTAGGCATACCCAATATCAAACAAGAAACTATGAAGGAGAGTGAACTAAGGAAATAGTTGCTTTCCTTATTCAGGGGTAGGAGGAGCTAAGGAGATGGGAGAAGGACTGACAAAGAAGAACTTTCACGTTAGTGGAGAGATATCAATTTAGCGCATCTTGACCAACTTTTTTTTTTTTTTTTTTTAAAGATTTTATTTTTTCCTTTTTCTCCCCAAAGCCCCCCGGTACATAGTTGTGTATTCTTCGTTGTGGGTCCTTCTAGTTGTGGCATGTGGGACGCTGCCTCAGCGTGGTCTGATGAGCAGTGCCGCGTCCGCGCCCAGGATTCGAACCGACGAAACACTGGGCCGCCTGCAGCGGAGCGCGCGAATTTAACCACTCGGCCACGGGGCCAGCCCCTTGAGCAACTTTCTTTAAATTAATGAGAATGGAAGGGAAACTATTGGAGTTCATCACACACAGTAAAGGTAAGATTGCTTTGTGAAATCTTGTTTCAGTTGCCATGTGAATTTTCGTGCAGGTCACAATTAAAAACATTGCATCACTCCAGGACAGAGGACTCGGCTCCTGGTAAGGAAGCCGCAGCACAGACAGTGCCCTCCTGCCCCATGGTGCAATGGAGAGAGCCAACAAGACCTCTTCCAGTCACTCACCTGCTATTGTTGGGAAGGACAACAAAATGTCTCCAATACTGTTCTCACAGGGCATTCAATTAACGAGGTCACATAAAGTGCTTGGAGCAGTGCCTGGCACGTAGTAGGTGCTGTGTGAGCGTTGGCTGGTATTAGACTCACGAAGGCTGAGCCTGCGTCCACATCCACTAACGCACTTAGATGTTCGTTCTGACTCTGAGCCCCTTGGGTCAGAGAGCACCCACAGAGGGTGTGAAGCTGGATTCGGGAAGGAAGAGAGTCTGGTTCTGTGCAGGTGTCCTGCTGGAGCTGAACCACAGAACCATGGACAGAATCCTCACCTGGGCAGAGAGGTCAAAGGTGGCTTCGGTCTGGATCCCTCTCACATTGCTCCCGTGGCCTCTCTCAGTCATTGCGAACATCCCGCTGTATTTCTGCTCCTGGAGTTTACCAGACATTAGAAGGGAATCAGCCAGTCAGATGGCTGCTCAAATTGCAGACCCTCTCAGATCATTACGAATGTTGGTGAGAGAGGCGGGGTGAGTTAGAGATAATTATAAACATTCAGCCTGGCGACAGCCAATGTGGTAACAATATGACAGTCTCGATGCAATTTTAAAAAGATAGTCTTGAAATTCTTATTCCAAACAAGATTCTTGCTGACACTAATTCTGTTTTATCTTCTTTTTCTGCCAACACACGCACACACACACACACATACACACACACACACACATCTAGCTACTGTGAATTTTTAAGGCTCTGTGTGGAAAAGAACATCTTTGAGGTACATGCCATACCTGGAGAGGCTGAAGCCACTTAGTTACATGTCCTGGGCTTCCAAGGTTCCTGATTGCACCTCCAAATAGCCAATAAATTATTCCACACTGGAAACAAGGACAATACAGGCCATTGTTAGGAAGAGTCAATAATTTAATGACCACTAAACCCACGGGTCAACCTCCGTTCAAGGAGCATCTACTCGGCTCGAGCTTTACATAAGCCCTGCAAGTGGCGAGGCTTCCGCGCCCTTCCCCTTCACTGCCTGTCAAGCTCCAGTTCCTCTCTGCACACGTGGCTCATGTTCCCTCTCTTGGATGGAGTCAGTCCTCCATCCTCAGAGCTGCCCAGTGCACCCCATCAAATGACTGTTCCGAACTTTCATTCCACCTTGTCTGCTCAGGATCTAGCTTAGGGCCTGAAACGTAGATGTACAACAAAGTGTTTGTGCCCTGATCCAGGTGCCGGCCACAGTCTGCAGAGATGAGTCCTGTCATAAGAAACAGCACACACGAAGGCTGACGGAAGAGGTGATGCTGCAAAACGAGCAGGCACTCAGCTTGGGATGAGACAGCCGGGGCTCAAATCCCAGTTCAGCTACCCACTGGCTGTGGAACCTTGAGCAAATGACATAGTAGCCTCAGTTTCCACATCTGAGAAATCGAGTGAATGATGAGCACTCCCACTTACTGAGCACTCAAGCCTTCTAAGCATTGAGCTCCATACACACAAGCTCATTGAGTCTCACGACAACCCTGGGAAGAAGACATCATCACCCTCCACTTGACAGATGAGGACACCGAGGTTCAGAGAGGAAAGTGACGTGTCCAAGGTTTCACCCTGAGAAAGTGGTCAGGGCTGGGGTTCAATCTCAAGCTGCCTAATGCCTAACAGCACTTCATAAGGTTGCTGCGAGGACTCAGTGAGGGCCAACTGCCAAACACTTTGTCTGGTCTTTTATCAACCCTGGAAAAGTGTTGCTGACAAGGAGAAAGAAGAGCAGGAAAAAGAGAAGGAAGAGGAGAAGGCAGACTTCAGTGGGGCATTTGAAGGGAACAGGAGACTGATTGCAAAGACAGAGAGATCAAGCGGACGACATTGGCTGCATCTGCAGGTCAGCACCCCTTCACCCCCTCCGAGCCACACAGCCCCAGTTTTCCTCTGGGAAGCCCTCCTCCTCCAGAATCAGTCCAAGTGGTTTGTGGCTGATGTTAACCTCCATCCCAGCTTTAGGATGAGCCTGGGGCCCAGGGCTGACTGATCTGCATAGTATCATCGCCATAGGGATGACGGATGGATGGATGGATCTGTGATCTGGGTGGGTACAATCAGAGTGGGTAAGCTCCTGAGGAAAAGAAGCTCTGTCTTTTTGGATGCAGTAGAACCTGGAGGAATGGGGGCCTGGTGCTGCTGGCTGCTCTCGCCATCACAAGAGCTGGTGAGTGAAGCCAACACACAGGGGTGAAGGTGGGGAGAAGGAAACAGAGACGAGAGATAAGAGAACTCGGGTCCCACACACTCACACTTGAAGCCTGCCACCCCCTGGACTCTTCAGTTACAGCAGCCAATAGACGCCCCTTCTTTTCAGAATCACTGCAATCGAATGAGCCCTAGCAGACACACTGATCCCGAGGAAGACCTGGCAGAGAAGTGGCAGGAAAGGCATCTTCACATCCTTCCATCTGAGAACTGTCATCAGCCCCTGGCAAGAACGAGTCCCGGCACCACACGCGTGTGACCAGCCTGGCGCTGACTGCCGAGCCTTCATCGACTGGCGTTCCATCGACCCCCACCGCTTGACCAGCTGAAACGCTCTGCCATCGTAACTGATGGATTTCATTAGTCACATCTGATAGACACAGTGCTTTTCGTTTGGAGAATCATAAAGCATCCTCGGAAGATGCTTGATGTCCTGCTTTCTCAGCACCCCTCTCCACAGAATCATCATGGACCCTGCATCTTGCAGTACTAATGCCAACCTGGGAAAATGGCATCCATCCAAACAGTGATATTTTTTCCCTAAACCATCTTGGAAATCGAGTTAAAGAAAAATATTTTTCTGAAACTAAAAGAGATTGAATTTTCCACCCCTAAATCTCTTTGACTGGTGGCTAATGTGTTCTTCACAATATAGTCCTTTTCTAGGTTTTAAATCCTTTCCTCCTCTTTGGAATGGGGGGGGGGGGAGTGGATCAGAGTGTTTCCTGCACATTTTGAAAGCTCCATTCACTAAATGCTCTCAGTAGGAGCACTGGGCTGGGGGAGTGAAACCTGTAGGTTTGCAGAAAACTTCAGCAGTTAACAGAAGTCTGCAGGACTCATCCCACACAGCCAGTTAAAATGTGGGCTCTTTCCCCATGTGCTGGCCAGCGTGTTGTCAAAGCCACGTCCCCTGAATAGCAGGTAAGTTGACTAAACAGGAGCACCCGGATGGCTCTAAGCAGCTGACTCCCTGGCCATTCAGCGGAGGCCTCCTGTGAGAAGCATGGACCCTCCCTCGCCCAGGCGTAGGAAGGAGGCACCCAGCGAGCGACCACCAGGGTGAGCAGGTGAGTCAGACTGCAGTGAAGCGGACGACAAGAAGAAGGATTCAGGGTAGATTCTGGAGACAGAGCTGATGGGTGGACTTGGGAAGCGAGGACAAGAGAGGACTCCAGGTGACACCTGGGTCTTGGGCCTGGGTGCCAGATGGATGGAGGCCCATTATCTGTACGGGGGAAACTTGCAGGAGGAGCCAGGGAGGAGCGGATGGATTCGCTAAGACAGGGATGCTGAGACTGAATGAAGGGCATCAATCCATTACAAGGGAGCAGCGCAACGTGTCCTCCTGAGAGGGCGCTGTGTCCACTGCTGTCATTCTGTCCAAGGAGCGCCCTGCCCCCGGCCCACCTCAGGGCACAGGACAGAGAGGTCTGTCTGTTCTGAGAGAGACTGGGAAAGTTAGTGGCAAGGAAGCACAAACAGGGAGGATACCTAACGAAAACTCTAAATATGTGCACACCTCGAACTGTTAGTTTGGGAAAGCTCTTTCTCTCCCTTCTCACTAATCCAGAAGAGAAAAAGGACAGCTACAGCATCGGGCGCCTGAGGTCATGACCGCAACACGCCCAGGGAGGGCTGGCAGCCTCCAGAGGCCACAGCCGGGGCTTCCTGGGGGCCGGGAACTGCAGCCAGGACAGGCTGAAGGGGCCTAAGGCTGGGGCCTCCGGCAGGGCCTCTTAACTTCCAAATGGTGACTAGAAAGACAGACATCACACAGTGTCCAGGGAAGCTGGTGGAACCCAGGTTGATTTCACCTCAGTCCACCAACTGAGCCACTACCTGGAAGACCACTGGGGAGGGCTCAGGGCCACATCTTAGTGGTTACAGCCCCCACCACTCACCAAGCCCCTGCTGCATGCCAGGCATGGCATGGAGCTCCTCACAGGCATCATTGACTTAAATCTGATCACAGCCTATGAATGGGCATTAGCAGTGCCATCTTCATGAAGAGAAACCTAAGGTCACTCAGCATGATGAGTAAAAGGAACATGCCAGAACTGTGACTGAAGAATCCTAGATACTGAACGTGAACTCACATCATTCTAACTGTCTCCCCGCCGAGTTGGACCAGCAAGATCTCTCATGCGTCCGCTGTGATAGGCCAGGTCCTTCCTACACAACATCCTGACAGCGGGTCTCCTAAAGAAGCTGCAAGTGCATTCAGGTTCTTTTCATTCCAAGAGCAAATGGGATACACTGAGGCACTGATGTGTTTTCTGAGACAATGGTGAGCCCAGAAGGGGCGGTGCTATGGACTGAATTGTGTTCCCCAAAATTTATATGCTGAAGCCCTAACCCCACTGTGATGGTAGTTGGAGGGGGTGGCCTTGGGAGGTAATTAGGTTTAGGTGAGGTCATGAGGGTGGGGCCATCTACAGTAAGAGGGTCCTCAACAGGAACTGAATCTGCTGGCACCTTGATCTAGGATTTCCCAGCCTCCAGAACTGTGAGAAAATAAATTTCCGTTGTTTAATGCAGCCCAAGCAAACTAAGACAGATAGTAAGATGGTTCAAATAAGGAAAAAAGGGAACAGCCATGGGGAAGAAGAAAAGGAAGCATGTCACATCTCTTCCGGCCTTAGAGTCCCTCCAGACTGCATCAGCGTTTTGGGCAGAAGACCTTGGGCTGGCTCCCAAGCTAGAATGGGGACTCAAAGGCCTCAGGAAAGTCTCTCCCCCTGCACCTCTCTCACTCTCCCGCCCCCTGGCGGTGAGCCGCTCTCAGAGCCAGTCCCCGCCCAGCCTGCACTTCACTGTGTGAGTACAACTGCATTTGTGCAAAGCGCCCAGGGACACCCAGAGCCTTTGGAAAACACACACCTGGAGGGAGAGAGAAAAGGGACCCAAGGTCTGCGGGGTGCAGGGGACTTTGACAAATTGATGTTGACACCCCCTCCTCAGGTTGACAGCCAGCCCATGTGAAGGTACAAAAGGAGAGCCAACAGAGGTCACTAGCTACTCTTGGGCTGGCAGTGACATCTGGGGATGCCCTGACCAGCCAGAGCTCATAGGAACTGTTCCCAGCGCACCACATCCCCTCCCTGGACCTCTCCCTCCACTGCCAACAGGAGAGACAGCCACGCCCTCCTGGGCTGACCTCAGGAGCACAGTCTACACATTCTTCTAACAGTCCAGGATATTCAAGCACAAGGAAAAAAAATCCCCCGCAATGACTGATGCGTGGGAAAGCAAACAGGGTTAATAATAATTTTTGTTAAATTTTCAAAGTTTTTTTTTTGTATTGTGGTACAACACAAATTACCTATTTGCCATCTTAGCCATTTTTAAGTGTTCAATTCAGTGGCATTAAGTACATTCACAGTGTTGTGCAACCATCACCACTATCCATTTCCAAAACTTTTTCATCACCCCAAACAGAAACTCCGTATCCATTAAGCAGTAACTCCCCGTTAGCCTCTTCTCCCAGCCTCTGGCAACCCATAATCTACTTTCTGTCTCGATGAATTTGCCTAGTCTAGAAACTTTATATAACTGGACTCAATAATAACTGGATACAATAATTGTCTTTTTGTGTCTGGCTTATTTGACTTAGCATCATGTTTTCAGAGTTTATCCATCTTGTAACACGTACCATAATATCCTCCCTTTCGTAGCTGAATAATATTCCATCATATGTATATACCACATTTGCTTTATCCATCCATCTGTTGATGGACACTTCGTTTGTTTGCTCCTTTTAGCTTTGTGAATGATGCTGCAATGAACGTTGGCCTACAAGTATGTTTGAGTCCTTGTTTTCAGTTCTTTGGGGTATATACCTAGGAATGAAATTGCTGGGTCATATGGTAAATTCTGCACCTAACGTTTTGAGTAACTGCCATACTGTTCTGATTCTATGCTTTCATTTAACACTCGTGTCCTGACACTTACTAAATACCAAGAAAGTAGGGGGTGACAGTCTCCAAGGAGTTTGCCATCTAGTGGTAATGAGACGCACACAGTAATGAGACGCATGAATAAACACATCAATTTAGAAGGGGTACACACTAGGACAGACAACTGTAAGGCACAGAGGCAGATGACAACACGCAGATGGGATTTAAATTGCAGGCCCGAGGGAGGCTTCCCCGAGGGGAGGAAACTTGAGCTGGGACTTGAAGAATGAGCAGGTGTCGGCCAGGTGAGGGAGGGGACTGTTGTGGAGTGGTCCAGAGGTGGATGAGAGGAACCGAAAGAAGGCCCATATGGCAGATCTCCTGGGGAGGAGGACAAAGCGGTATAGACGGGATCCAGAGAGGTGAGTAGGTCCAGACCACACAGGACCAGTGGGCACATCGAGAATTGGAGAGTTTTTCTTGGGGCTGGCCCTGTGGCATAGTGGTTAAGTTCGGCGTGCTCTGCTTTGGCAGCCCAGGTTCACGGGTTTGGATCTGGGTGCAGACCTGTACCACTCATCAGCTGTGCTGTAGCAGCATCCCACATAGAAAGTGGAGGAAGACCGGCACAGACGTTAGCTCAAGGCTAATCTTCCTCAGCAAAAAAGAAGAAGAAGAAGAAGAATTGGAGGGTTTTTCTAAAGCATAATGGGAAGGGGCTTTAAGCAGAGGAGTGATGTGATCAGGGAAAAATTTTTAAAGATCTGTTTCTTTAAATCTATTCAAATTTCCTGCTAAGATATTCAGGAGTAAAACTTTTTTAAATGTTTTTATTGCGGAAAGTTTCAAACAAAATAGAAGAGTATAAGGAACTCTATGACGGCCATCATGGGCTTCATCTTTGCCCCAATTCGCTTTCCCATTCTACACCTCAGGTAATCTTGAAGTTTATCCCAGACATCCTACCATTTCACCCATAAATATCTCCTATACATCTGTAAAAGATAAAGGCTCTTTTTAAAAACACAACCCTAAAACATCCCACCTAAAAATATAACAATTCTTTAATATTGTCAAATATCCAATGTTCAGATTTCCCCAGCTGGCAATTTTTCTTTTTAGTTTGTCATTTGAACCAGGATCTAAATAAGGTCCACACATTGTGATTGGTTGAAACGTGTCTAAGTCTGCTTTAAACCACTGGCTGCCCGTCCCTCATTCATTCAAACATTCCCCGTGCAGCTCTATGCACTAGGCTCCGTGCAAAACTCCGGAGATGCAGAGCAGAGGGCTCCAGAGAGCTGGAACCCCCGGTGGAGACTTCCCCATGGCCACACCCCACCAGGGGCCTGCTGAAGAGAAGGCAGGCATGGGGCAAGATGGTGAAAGCACAAACTGAGGATCATGAGTCTAGCCCAGGATCCTCTCGTGTTTCTGAGACGGGGGTTATCTGATGCATCTCAGTTGACTTTCTTCTCTCTGGAAGCCACAGCGAACCCATCCAGGAGGCAAGAGACCCTGCCTGGCTGAAGTCACAGAGAAGCCATTCTCCCCTGAAGGATCTAACTGTGGGTACCCTCACCACAGGATGGCACTCACAGATTTTTTTCTTTAATTTTTACCCATTTTTAAATGTCTACACTGCAGACAGAAATAACTACCATCTTGGACCCACCAACGATTGACCTGGCTTCTTGTCTGATAGTTCTCTCTTCATGCTCTAATTATAATTTCTCCCCTCTGGGGACATCAGGACTGGATGTTTGGATGCAGGAACTTACTTTAAGGCCAAGTGGTGTCCAGGGAGGGAAGAGAGGGCATGTACAGGGCCATGTGAATGCCCTTCTGTTAGGAGACCTAGGGTACACGACGGGCCCTGGCAATCATGCCCTCCACACTATTCTGTTTACCATCTTTGGAGAGCTGGGACACACAAAGCAAGCCCACAGTATGATGCCTTTATATACCCACTTGATCAGCAAAAATGGAAAAGTCTAGGAACGCCAAGTGATGTGGAAACATTACACAGTAATATTTCACAGTAGTCAAACATTACACAGGAGTCAAAAATGAATGAACTTCCATTCATATATCATCCTCAAAATGGCAAAACCATGGAAATGGAGATTAGTGGTTGCCAAAGGACAGCGATGGGTGGGAGGTCTGGCTGCAACTGCAAATGAGTAGCACCATAAGTTTCTTTGGGATAAAACAGACTTCTATCTTGATTGTGGTAGTGGTTGCGTGAAACTATAAATGGGACCAAACTGCATAGAACCACACACACACCCACACACACACAAACACACAATGAATGCCACGTAAAAACTAGTGAAATCTGAACAAAGTCTGTAGTCTAGTTAACAGTACTGTACCAATGTTGATTTCCTAGTTTTATATCGCTTTACAGCTATATAACGTGCCACCACTGAGGGAAACTGGGTAAAGAGTTCATGTGACTCTGTGTACTATTTTTGTAACTTCCTGTGAGCATTTCTATTTCAAAATAAAAAGGTTTTTTAAAAAGTAAATATAAACGAATACAGTGGCATGCAACAATATGGATTAATCTTAGCGATGACATTTAAGTGATGAAAGTAAATTGCAAGTGATTTTGATACTGTTTTTATAAAATTTGAAACAAACAAAAGTAATTGACACAAATGCAATAACACTAAACAGAAAAGCAAAGGAAAAACAAATACAGGATTGGATAGAATGGTTAAAGAGGAAGTCGGAGGGATGGGTTGTAAGGTGTACCATCTTACCATCTATTCCAGTAAACAGACTGGTACCTCCAGGCCTCTATTTTTCACTCCTTGCCACTCAAAACCCAGTACCAGGCCATGAAGGGTGGGTGCCCAGCGCCTCTCACCTTTACCCCGGTGGCCATGTCCGCTGTGGAGAGGACTTCTCCTATGACAAGGCTTCGGCTGATAAAATTCTTTGTTTTCTCTGCCTGAGAACATGACAGACCAATGTTAAGGTTTGCTTATGGTTTCTGACCTTTCAAATTAACATTTTTATAACAAACATATGTTACCTTTATAACAATAAATTCAACACAATAAAAGCAATTTTTTAACTAAAAATAATCATCACTCTACTGAAGTAAATGTTTTCAACCTTTTTTAACGTGGGCCTTCTGGTCTCTGGCCACATACAAAGTGTTTAAAGCCTTTTCTCACACAACAGAAAGTAGACTGGGTTCGCCTGGAGGCCAGGCTCCAACACTCCGCTCAGGTCTTGCGTTGTCTTCACCAAGATGGTCCCTCGAGGTCACTGGAGCCGGACACCCCCACGGTTCTGCCTAGAACACGGTGCAGCCTCTCTGCACTGATGCTCGACCAAGGGGCAACGCCTGGCTCAAGTCCAAGCCACAATCTTGATGTGAAGACAGAGGGTTGGGGAGGTTTCCAAACATTTTGGACACAGGAAAAGCAATATTCTTCACTTTCCTTTCTAACCATAGACCATCTCAGGGTCTGATAACTTGAAAACCATGAGGTCCTGGTTCGTCTTCACTGCCCTCTTCTCACTCCCTGTACACAGCAGCCACAAATCCCAGAGCTGCAGAGGCCACTCTTCTCCATCGGCAAGAAATGAGACAAGGCAAAAACACTGTCCCTTTTTTAAAAATTCAGAGGCGGGTGGCATTTCCCTAGAAGGTGGTGGGCCCCTGAGTGCACAGATTGCAATTATCCATTGTTGGAATTAATGCTAACCTTCCTTATTCTCCAGTGTCTTCCGAGACTCAGCCAATAAAAGCTGGTGTTTGTTGCCATGTGTACATGTGTGTATACGTGTGTGTGTGCCTATGGGTGCCTCTGTGCCTATGCGTACATGTGGTATGTGCATGTAAACTGCCCACCAGCAGCAGGATGATAACCAACCTTCCTCAATGACTCCCAGTTTCCACACTGGCTTAAGCTTTCTCCCTAAACACACTCTATGTTTTCCCCTCCTGTAGGTTTTTAGTGTTTCTCTCAAGCATTATTAATTTTATCAAACAGCAGACTGTCAAGATTTATGACTCTTACTGTGGTTCCAACCCAATGCATCTTGTATTGATTATTTCCTAAAATATCTCCAGGCTTGAGGAGAAACCATTGCACGGGTCCAGCTCCAGCTCACACTGGAGAGTTAGTCACCAGCAAATAATAAAAAACAACTGTAGCAGATATTTGGAGACTTTTTCAGGCCCATGTGTCCTCTCTCCCACGGATCCTCACAACCACCTTCCATGAGAGGCCAAGCAGGACAGGAAGTACTGACCCTATGTAACAAATGGAAAAGTCTAGACTCAGGGAGGTCAAGTGACTTGTTCAACCAGGGTCACCTAGCAAGTGGCAGAGCAAGGACCAGAAACCAGGTCTACAGACTCCTCATATGGACATCATGCCCCCATCTCTCACTGCCCCTCATTGCTAAGCCGGAGGAAGCCCCGGCACCCTGGGTGGCCCAGCCTGCATCACCTGTCCACTCCTATTTTGCACCACCAGCCTTGTCCCCAGAGAGCACCTGACATCAACACACCACAATGCCCAGGAATCATCATCAGAAACCCTTCCTCACCTTAAACCACCTGCTCTGCTTTAGCCAAACCTAAACCATCGGGAGTAAGTAAAACCCTCAGAATCTCCAACTGGTCACCGTTTTCTGCCTATTTCATTCTCTCCATATACTGTTAATACAGGAGTATGACTGCCATTAGAAGTATTCGACTGTGGTCATTTTTACTCAACAGTTTGAAATAAATTGCAATCCCATTTGCTGAAGAATCGACCCCAAATTTAGCCATCTTGGAGCATTATAAACTGTTTATGATGATTATTTTCCTTCCTCACATCTTTGCTATTAGATCTGACGGGAAATGCCACTAGGAGTTTGCCATGGATCCTCTGATGTTGACTTAAGCATTCATTTGGACTGGCCCATTTCAAGAAGTCAAGTGAAAGTTCCAGAACTAACACTAGGCTTAATTTGATTGAATGCCTCCCTGGCACCTATCTTTAACATCTCCTCCACACACAAATTCTCTCTCTTCTCCAATCCTTCTTTCATTTCTGATCCATTAATTGCTACTAATTAAAGAACGTCTAACATTGACAAGTTTCCCCTCTCATTCATTTGGCAACATAACTGCATTGTCTGTACTGATAACAATCAATCTACAATCAACATGTGTTTTCAGCATAAATTTTTACAGTGTTTCTACTCTATTAATAGCTGCCTTCATTTAGACTTGATATAGTCAAACTAAACTCAATTCCCATATCAGCACGTTAGTTTGTAGTCATTTTGAATGATAATGATTCTATAAATCTATGGATAATATTCCCAACCTTGTATTTTATCCTAAATTATGCCCCTGCTATTCACATTTCTGCTTAATAAATTCAGTCTAAACCAGAAGGAAGGTAGTTTTCCCTAAAATACCCCTATTTCTTTGTAGAGCACTTGACGTAGCAGAACTTTATGATGTAATATTCTGTTTCAAGACAAATTCTGCAAAAATGTATATTTTTGATTTTATAAGCCCAGAGTCTCTAAAAGGCATATATTCTTCTTCAACTAAAATCAACTTGATTCAGCACTGCTTGGGTGTCGTTAGTCTGAGCTGTCTTTCCTCTGACTTTAAAAGACCATGCACAACCCCTCGGCAGCCCCAGTTAGGTGCCCAGCCAAGGGTACTGGGCAGAAAGAAGTTTCTGGTCTTAGTTTACTGGTATCCGTTGTCAAACTTGCATATTTCCTCCTTCTATTTTCTGGTTTCAATTTTCTATTTCATTTAAGTCTTCTCTGTCTAATTGAATACATGTCCTTTGTTATAATTAGCCTCCAATTATTTTAGAAACAGAAGGGGTCAGAGTAAAGTATACACATAAAGTAAATAAATGGGCTTCCAGGATTCAGTTGTCTGCGCCTTCTCTAAACAAGACTCTCGCCTACGGGGTGAACCAGTCCTGACCCTCCCTCCCTCAAAAGAGATCCCAAGGCTGGCCACTTCTGACATCTCCCACCACCGTCGTGTGCCTGGACTTCCATAACAGCTTCCCAGCGGGACTCCCTGCTTCCACTCTGCCCCTAGCATCAGGCATCATGATTGTTTTTTATTATGAAGGTAAAATTTACATGCAGTGAAATGCACTGACCTTTAGCACATGAACTGTGGTCAATTATCTACCTGTGTAACTAACCATCACACCAATTAAGATTATAGAACATTGCCATTCCCCCCAGAAAGTGCCCACATGCCCCTTTTCAGAGTCCCCACCCCCACAGGCAGCCACTGTTCTCTTTTTATCACCACCCACCAGCTTTGCCTGTTCTTGAACGTATATGAACAGAATCGTACAGTACGTACTCTTTTATATCTGCCTTCTTTCATGTAAATAAGGCACCTATGTTGTCTTCTATATCAACAGTTCATTCTTTTCTATGACTGAATAGTTTTCCATCTATGAATATTCCATAATTTGTCTCATTTCTTTTTCTTCTTTTTTTTTTTTAAAGATTGGCACCTGAGCTAACATCTGTTGCCGATCTTCTTTTTTTTCTTCTTCTCCCCAAAGCCCCCCCAGTACACAGTTGTATATTCTAGTTGTGAGCGCCTCTGGTTGTGCTATGTGGGACGCTGCCTCAGCGTGGGCTGACAAGCTGTGTCATGTCCGCACCCAGGATCTGAACCAGTGAAACCCTGGGCCACCAAAGCAGAGCGCATGAACTTGACCACTCGGCCATGGGGCTGGTCCCTCTCTCATTTCTTTTTTTCTTTTTCTTTTTTTTTTTTTGAGGAAGATTAGCCCTGAGCTAACATCTGCTGCCAATCCTCCTCTTTTTTCCGAAGAAAACTGGCCCTGAGCTAACATCCATGCCCATCCTCCTCCACTTAATATGTGGGATGCCTACCACAGCATGGCGTGCCAAGCGATGCCATGTCCGCACCTGGGATCCGAACTGGTGAACCCTGGGCCACGGAAGCAGAATGTGCAAACTTAACTGCTGCGCCACCGGGCCAGCCACCCCCTCTCATTTCTTACTGGTGAACATTTGGGTTGTTTCTGGTTTGGGGTTATTATGCATAAAGCTGACATAAACATTCACGTACAAGTCTTTTTGTGGACACATGTTTCCGTTTCTCTTTTGTAAATCCCCAGGAATGCAATTGCTGGATTAAAGGGGAGATTTATGTTTAATATTGCAAGGAACCGTCAAACAGTTTTTCAAAATGGTTGTTCCATTTTACACTCCCACCAACAATATATGAGAGTTCTAGTTTCTCCACTTCCTCAACAGTATTGTCGCTCTTTTCCATTTTTGGCTATCCTGGAGGGAGTGTCATCTCATTATGGTTTAAATATGCATTTCTCAGATGACTAAAGACGCTGAGCACATTTTTATATGCTCATGGGCCACTCGTATACTTTCATAAAGTGTATATTAAAGTCTTTTACCCATTTTTAAATTGGGTTGCTTGTCTTATCACTGAGCTCTAGGAATCCTTTCTGTATTCTGAGTACGAATCGTTTGTATCTGGACCTAAGTTTTTGTCAGATACATGCACTCCAGATATTTTTTCCTAGTTCATAGGTTGCCTTTTTATCCTCTCAATGATATCTTTTGATGAACAACAGTTTTTAATTTTGAAAAAGACCAAGTTAGTTTTTTCTTTTACACGTTTAATGTTTTTTGGGGGGCCAAAGGGACATTGTCTTTGTTCTTCTGTAAACTTCGTAATTTTATAACTTATGTTTAGGTGTATAATTCATCTCAAATTATTTTGTATGCAGTATGAGGTAGGGTTTAAGGTTAAATATTTTTTTCTATACGTTTATCTAGTTGTTTCAGCACCATTTATTGAAAAGACTTTTCCCATTGACTTGCCTTGGCAACACTGTCAAAAACTCAATCGATCATATATGTATGGGTTTATTTCAGGATTCTCCACTCCGTCCC